CATGTTCCCTCATCCTTAACCCTTCTCCATGCTAACTCAGACTAAGGGAAGTTGTGGTCAAAAATATATGGAGGGCATCAGGTTGGCTGGATGATGCTCTTGGAAGAATTTCCATGCTGGATCAAACCAAGGGTCCATTTAATCCAGTGCTCTGTGGCCCACCAGATATTGCAAATAAATTGCAATATGGTGTGATGGAGTTAGCAGTGCCCTATTACTGTAGTGGTGGTAGTTCCTTTTGGAGAGGTTCCCCAGAATGCCCCAAGTGCTGTATTGTTCTAGGGTGAAAGTCATAATGTGGTGCTCATGGGTACACCCACAAAGGTCTTCTCTGAGGTCCATAGGGGCCATTTGGCTCCCTACCCCCATTGAAATTATGCTTGAAAGAAGCCTTTGCGTGTAGTGCTTTGAATGTTAGTGCAAGGTTTTTGCCTGTGCAATGAAAAGTCCCTTCTCCCTGGGTGCACCCACTAAATCTGTTCTGGAGTTCACCCAACCCTCCAGAGCAGATTTGGGGGAGGATGTTGGATGCCTGCAAGTGGAGGAGCAGAGGCAGGGTCTATTGTGAATTGCAAATCCTTGTGCTAACCGATTAAGTGCATTGGAAACCATCATTTGTAGCCAATACATTTTTTCCCCCAAGCCTGTTTGTGTGGCTGTATGTTTCCATCGTGTGCGCACACATGTGGTTGTGAGTGAAAGGTTGATGTGTGTGCACGAGACCAACAGTTTCTCTGGTTTGCAAATGTGTTCCCAGGCATGGAGTAAGGGAAGATAACAGCCTACAATGACAACTGCCATTTCTTCACTGGAATATTGTAATGTCTAGTGAATTCTGGGCAAATGAGATATGAATGGGACAGTGAAAACAAACCAATTCATATTTATTCACTCATTTGTTACTCGTTCCTTTTGAAGGAAGTTGAACCAAATGGGCTCCATTTAAGTTCTCCCCCCCCCTTCCAAATCACACGCCTGCAGAATTCACTGCTACAGGATGTGACGATGGCCACACACTTAATATGGTTTCAACATGACATTAGGGAAATTTATAGAGGTAAAGTTTACCAAGGGGAAATCTTTAAGGACTAAAGGACTTTCCAGGTTGAAAGAGGAGTATCCCACTGGGCATCGATGGGGGGGTGGGGGGTGCAGTGTGGGGTTTTGTGTCTCCATGTCCTGTTGTCTGTTTCCAATAAGCATCTGGTTCTCCACTGGTGTCTGTTTGAATAGGCGAGGTGTGGGGACCCTTTGGCCCTCCAGATGTTGCAGAACTACAACTCCCATCCACACCAGCAAGCACAGCCAGGAGCCAAGGATGATGGGAGCTGCAGTTCAGCAACATTTAGGGGGTCATAGGTTCCCTATACTTTGAACAGACAGAGCTTTAGTTTGATCCAGCATGGTTCTTACATCCTTACCTAAGGCTGTCTCAGCTACTGTGTATGATGATGCTTTAAGCATTCCTTTAAGCATTCTCCAAATCACATATCTCTTGCAAGCTGGTTGTCAAAGGGACCCTACTGGTTTAAGCAATTGCCTAGAGCAGGTTTGACTCAGTAGTTAAGCGACTGTTAATATCCTGTAGGAGACTTGAAACACACAGAGACCCTGGAAGGAATTTCACTGCTGGGTTGCAATGCTTCTGCTTTGTTGTCTCTGAAGCATCATGCATCAGGTATTTCATAGGAGGCTCATGCCAACTTCTTTTTAATTTTTTTCTTTCACTTCTCTTGTGCAGAAAAATTCTGACAAATTCATATTCAACCATGGGGAGATTGTGGACAATAAGACTTCCTTCAGCAGTCCTCTCTTTGAGCATGCCTGTATTCCCAGACCAAATGTTCCCCACTCAGCCACTTGGATCCAACTGGGTGTCATCATCTTCTTTTTAACAGTGCTTGGGCTGTGCGTCTCTACGTTTACGCAGCTTAAAATCCTAGTGGCAACATCATTCTATCCTAGCACAGATGTGAAACGGATAAAGTATCTGCACTCAAAATTATTAAAGAGAAGATCAAAGCTCCCTGAGAGGAATGAGAAGAGGAAGCTGAATTCGTTTGCAACGGTAAGTTACAAACAGCATGGAATGTGGGGCTAGCTTGGAAGTTAAATCCTGAAGCTTGATCCTAGAAACCACCAAACTGAAACCAGAGTCAGCACAAACCTATCTGTAGTTTCTGGCAACGGTAATGATTTGCTCACTCCCTTTGCCTATACATGGGGAAAGGGAAATCTTGATTTTATTTTTTTTAATGGATTTTATGAACTACCATAGAAGCCAAACATCCCACGCTATTCTGGTAGCACATCTGCTGTGAAAGTAATGCTTGGACTCACTTCAGGTGCTGTTTGCACAACCCCACTTCTGCTGTGACACAAGGGCTTGCCTCTCTGATAAGCTTCAAAACCAATCCATGACTGCAAAGGAAGGCAGGCCTTTCCCAATTATTCATTTGCTGTAGTTGCAGCTTGTTTTCCAATGCCAGATGCCGCATACAGCAGCAGGTGCAGTAAAGGTGGACATGGTTTGCCCAAAATGGCCTGGCAGGCCCTAATTAGGCCTACACAGCAGTCCCCTGCCACTGGTCTAGAAATTTCCTTTTCCCTCAAAGAAAGGATGTGTTGGGAGTAAAGCAACAGCACTGAGTGGTAGAGGGAGGTGACAGATAGAAAGGCAACCTATTTGCCCCTCGTTGATTCCTCTTGGAGTAATTTCCTGTAGGTTGTTCTCTTGGGCTTTTTCCCCCTTCCTGCTTCTTTTCCAAATTAGTGGCCACATGAAAGCTTGTACTCAGAATGGCTTTGTTCTGGGAATCTCTCATGCTAGCTCTGGGAGGCTCCTGCAAGATCTCTGACAGCCCTGCAAGATCTCGTGAGACCTTCACAGAGAAATTATGTGAAATTAAAAGCTCTTTCAGCACAGGAAAACCTGGCACGGAAGAAGTTTTAAAGCCATCAGACTTGAATGCGTTTAATTTTTGTGATTGGCCACCAAGTGCATAAAGTTGCAATCACACAAGTTAAATGTGTGCAAGTTATGAGTCAACTATATATACACCAAACTCCATTTGGATGAAGGGGAGTGGATGTTTAGCTACCATCTTGCTTGATTGAGAAGGGTGCTAAGCCACTTGCCCGCCCCCACTTCTTCAGAGCCTCCCATTCTTGTTCTAGACAGAGAAAGATGGTAGAGAGGGCATCTGCAAATTCATTGTAGGCACTCACTTGTAAATATATTTCCTCTCTTCCTCAGTTACATTTCTGGTCCCCAATCCTCCAGGCAATGAGGAGTTCCAGGAAGAAACAAACAGAGGTGGCAAAAGTCGGCAGCGTTTAACGACACAAAGAAAATCTCTATGAAGAAATCCATGGTTTTACAAGAGAATAAACGGTCTGATGCATTTGATTTTTCTTACATTCATTCACTTTTCACCTCTGACTCTCACCTTGTCATTCAGCTTTGAAATCATCAAGCTGTACAGACTTGTCGGTCTGACACCCTAAGTGATACCACTGCATAATTCACATATTTCTTTCTGTACCTGCCTCCTCCCTTACATCTTCTAGTAGGAGAGCTCAGAATGATTCGCTTTCTTTCTCTTTTCTTTTCTGCTGCCTTTGTCTGATCTTTGCCAATGTTCTTTTCTGTGGGTGGATTCCCCCCCCCCCGCCTGGCACTATATATCTATCATCACCCAAGTGTCATCAGTCCCTCCAGCCACCTTCCACTTCATGTTTTATTTTTCACAGATGAAAGAACTCTAGCTTTCGACTCAACATGAACGATGCAAATTTGAAACGAAGGGTTTTAGTTATTCAGAACCAATTAGGATTACTGGGTTTCTTTCCTAATGTTGCTTCTAGTGGTGCTGTGACCTCATTCCACACACACAAACTCACTCCATCCTTGTGTACACCACTGACGCTGCCTATACAGAGGCCCCTCTGACTCACCCATTCCACCCACACTCTAAAAATGCAGGACTTCCTCTCCTTCCTCTTTTTTAAAAGGGAATGAGATGTTGAATTTGATGTGGGGAAAATTCCCCTAAATCAGATCAGCTGCAGTTTGAAAAATTAATGAAGGCCTGACCCAGTTGTCTTGGGATGGCAATCAAAACTGGCAAGGTCCGGAACACTGACACTCCTGAAGTATGACCTATATGTAATGTGCAGAATGCCTGGAGGGTTGCTTGTTTATTTTTCTCCTTTGCTTTGCTACAAAATCCAAAGACTGTGAGTAACTCATTTCCCCAGAGAAACCGCTCCAGACTTGCGTTTTGCCATGACCATGGTTGAACTCTTCATTTCTATGGTGGTAGCGTGAATTTCTACCACTGGTAAATTTTGCAGATAGAAGGGTTCATGGGCACCACGATTGAGACACTAGGACAGTAGTAGAGGGACCTGAGTATTCATCTCCATAGGTGGGACAACAGAGTAGATAATCCCTTAGTCGTACAGTGTATAAATGTGGCATGTGTTAAATGTCTAGCTGCAGGATTATAGAATTGGGAGTTATTAGCCATTATGAAGCTTATTTGTATTGAATCAAGCAATTGCTTATGTTAATTTGAAGCGATAGCCAGGGCATGTGTACTAATAGATTGATATATATTTTTTTGCAAGTTAGATCAGCCTCAGATGAGCTCCGACGGTGCCATGCCAATGATCCCAACCCAAAGCAAAAAGAATCACAGTGCCAGTAATCTACCTACAAACTAAAGCACATTACTAGCCACATACAATTGTGGTAATAGCTTTATCACAGTAGGAGACTTCCGTGATGACTGGTGCAAGGCTCACTGCTTTCCACTTAATTGTGAGGATTACTACATAATACAGAGATGGGACTGGGGCCTGACAACCCCACCCCCACCGTGTCCTCATATAAAATCACAATGGGCCTCAGAAAAGGTTTGCATGGTAATATAAATGCACTTATTTATATAATAAAAATGTCTGTAAACTTTCAAAAGAGGTAGCAATGGTAAAAATTGTAGAGGAAAATAGTCATTTATGAATTGAGATAAAATGCTGATGCATCATACAGAAATCAAAATTGCAGATTAATAGGGCTCCAGAGTAGGTTGCAGAAGCCGGGCGAACAGAATTATTTTCATCTGGTTTTTTGACCTGGAGAGACAAGAGGAAGAAAACATGATGTAATCCTTCCAAAGGAGGATGTCTCTTACTTCTGTCACCAAGAGAGGCAATAAGAATAAAGAGCTTATAAGAATTACTAACGAGTGGGATTCAACAAAGTGTGCAGCCACAGTTTCCCCATGATTTCTAATCATGGGTCCAAGAGGTAGGGTGTGGGGTTTTGTGTTTTGGTCCTGTCACTTTCCTCGGGAAGACCTCTTTACGGTGGAACTGGAACAATTGTCAATAGGGTTTTCTGCAGATTGGCATTTGCTCTGATGTTGCAGTAAACAGTTTTTCTCAGGGGAAGCAGTGGGACAAAAATAAAACCCTTCTTGGACCTGTGACTAGAAATTGCGGGACAAACAAAAAACAGCTGTGGATGGGTCCCTAAATTGTTGCACAAGTGGAATGAGCTCTGTTCACACAAAAGCACAGTTCCCTCTAAATCTCCCTCTGGAGGGTTGTAGGAACCCCTAGGGGGCGCAAGGGAGGAGAGGGGGAAATCACTTAAGGCTCTGTTGAATTGCACCCATCGTTTTGTCACTCCTCTGCAGTATAGCTGTCTTCATGGCAGCTTCTACTAGATTCTAAACCTCCTTGGTGCCAGAATCACAGACCTGAAAGACACTCATGGATATAACCCAGACTGACCCCTCCCACCCCCAGAACAATACTTTTCATTTGCGGGATGGGAATGCAGTGAAGGCAAGGGCCTTGGTGTGGACTTTCATCCCACAGGTTACTTGCTTTGGGACCAGTCAGTTTCCAATGGCCAAATGAGATACTCACATGTCAAAGATGAACTGTATTGTGGGAATTATTTTCCCTCAGCAGCAACTGCAATCACTTTGCCCACATATGGTGCTCGCTTGACAGGAACAGGCTGGCAAACCTGCAATGACATGTTTCATTTTTATTTCTTTCACATTCTCCTTCCCTCCCCACCCCCACCTCAAGAAACTTGTCAAAATCAAAATTGCACACTGCCATTAGATCTGTTGTCCTGTTGTCTTTTTATTTCAGACCATTCCGGTTTTAAGGGGAATGGATTGTTTTAAAAGCTGGCAGAGAGACATTTCAAGGTTCATTTGGAATGGGAAGAAACCTACAATAAAACAAACTGCTCATAGACTGGTGGATAGAGGAGGTTTTGCCCTACCGGACCTCAAACTATACCATAAGGCAACAGGTCTGGCCTGCATCCACGAATGGATGATACTAAAAGATACAGACTTGCTGGATATAGAGGGTTTTGACAACCACTATGGTTGGCATGCCTACCTATAAGGTGAAAGTCCACAAAGGGTTTCTAAACCACATAAGAAAATCTTTATATAAAATATGGAGTAAATATAGAGGACTATTAGAACCTAAAAACCCCTGGTGGACCTCACCCATAGAAGCTTTAACTGTGAAGAAGAAAAATATGAAGGGAAACTGGGCAACGTACAAAATGCTATTAGAAAAGTAACAAATTGAAATTAAAGCACTTTGAAGAATTTCGTATATATTTGATTGGCTTCAATACTTCCAAATTAATGAAAGATTAGGCATGAATAAACAAAAAGGGTTTGCTGAAGAAACATCTAAGTTAGAAGAGAACTTAATTCAGCCCAAAGGGAAACATTTATCAAAGATGTACAACCTCCTCCTTGACTGGGAAGTCAAGGAGGAGGAGGTGAAATTGGTCATGGCACACTGGGCTCAACCGGACACAATATATACAGGTGAAACTCGGAAAAATAGAATATCGTGGAAAAGGAAGGAAGCACGAAGTGCTCCAAAATCTCCTGGTAGATGGCTGTGTTGACCCTGGACTTAATGAAGCACAGTGGACCAACACCAGCTGATGACATAGCTCCCCAAATCAACACAGACTGTGGAAACTTCACACTGGACTTCAAGCATCTGGCATTGTGTGCCTCCCCATTCTTCCTCCAGACTCTGGGTCCTTGGTTTCCAAATGAGATGCAAAAGCTGCTCTCATCAGAAACGAGATTGACATATCTCGCTTTGCATGTCATGAGTCTATCCCATATATTAGTTTCACCTTTTAAGTTGAATTACTGAAATAAATGAACTTTTCCACGATATTCTAATTTTCCGAGTTTCACCTGCATATGATTGAATGGGAAAGGCTTTGGAGGGAAGACATAAGGTTCACCGCATGTTACAATTTTAGAGAAAACGGATGAAGATGTTATACAGATGGTACCTAACTCTGGCCAAGTTGTACAATAAAAGTTCAGATGTCTGTTGGAGATGTAAAAATGGGATAGGTACCTTTATGCACATGTGGTGGGATTGTAAGAGGATAAGAGAATTGTGGGGTGCTACATATAACGAACTCAAAAAGATTTTCAAATTCTCATTTTAAAAAAAACCCTGAAGCCTTTCTGTTAGGTATTATGTCCATGGAAATTTTAAAAATATCAGACTCCTTTTTATGTAAGCAACTGCAGTGGCTAGGATCTTAATAGCAAAGAATTGGAAAGGCGACAGTATCCCCACAAAAATGGACTGGCAAGAGAAAATGATAGAGTATTTACAACTTGCAAAAATGACTGGGAGAATAAGAGGAAACTCAAAGCAGAAAGTTAGTAAAGATTGGATAATATTTAAAGAATACCTTAAACATTATTGTGATAATGCAAATCTCCTGAAAGACCCAGACTGAATCTTGAAACACAGAGAAATTATATAGCAAAAACTTTCATGCTAAATAATGGAAAAATAAAATAATTAAATGCGTACAATGAGGTGAATCGGAAGTCAAAAGTGTGTTTTGTTAAATGAGAGATTGTATGTATTGTATTGCACTGTCTAAGTTATATGTAAATTGTTGTATAATAAAGGTTATTTTAAAATTAAAAGAAAAAGAGATCTGTTGTCGTGCAGCCAAAGTTACGGCTGCATTAGTTTTGTGTACAAGATCTCAGCTCATACAGCCTCATGATGATTCCTGTACATGTTCCCTTGCCACATGTTTCTTCTCCCTTTCCCACACTATTATGTGCACTACGAGCCCTCCATTCATTAAGCCACACTCCTTATTATGACTTGATATTACTGTCCTCAAAAACATGCTTTAAGAACAGAGGCCTGCTGAGATACCACAGTAAGAAATTCTATGTTTTTAAACCTATGCATGTTTATCAGCACCAGAGTGGCAGCAGGGCCCTCCTGGTGGTGGTGCTGTACTTTTAGTCAAAGGAGAGAGATTCCTACAATCATATTATGCATAAAGACGTACAGAATTACTATCAGCATACACACCTGATCCCGCTGCCTGATCCGTTTGTAGACATATTCAGGGAATGGCTCACGGGGAACGTATCTCCCGTCTCCTGCTGCAACGTGGAACACACCGTTTTGGTAAACCACTTTGCCTCGCGAAATGGTCACCACTGCTACCCCATGGCAGACCATGCCTTCAAATATGTTGAAGTCGATGGCTTGGTGGTGAGTCTTTGCTGAGATCGTCCTGTTTTGGGAAGAACATGAAACAATGATGCAAACTGTCACCATGGCTGTTTTGAAATCAGCAAATTTTAGATTCCGCTGAGATTCTTTGAAGTCTAAGGAAAACATGGAATTGCAACAAAGGCAGCAATCATTAGAAACTCTTCCTTAGAAGTAAGCTCCACTGGAACAAGCAGTGCTCACTTCCAAGTGTTTAGGGTGGTCTTTTAAATCACAGATTTGAAGCAAAATCTACTGGAAAAAATAAATTGGAGTTGAACAAGAGTTTTCCACTTTTAGGTAAGAAACTCCACTGTGGTCTCACTTAGCTCTCATTAACTTCTATGTAAAAAAGCTTCTGCAGAGAAACACCTGGTTGAGCTGCCATTGGACTATATACTTTAGAAGCAACCAAAAACAACACAACTGCCATTGGTTCATTGAGTAGTTACAAATGATTTAAGAGGAAGGATTTCCCAAAAAAGAGATAAAAGTGCAATCTCATTTTTAATAGCAAAATTTGGGATGGGGGTGGGGGAGAGAGAGAGAGGTGTGTGATTCCTATACAGTGGTACCTCAGGTTAAGAACTTAATTCGTTCAGGAGGTCCGTTCTTAACCTGAAACTGTTCTTAACCTGAGGTACCACTTTAGCTAATGGGGCCCCCCTCTGCTGTTGCGCTGCCGCCACGCGATTTCTCTTCTTATCCTGAAGTAAAGTACTTAACCCAAGGTACTCTTTCTGGTTTAGCAGAGTCTGTAACCTGAAGCATCTGTAACCTGAGGTACCACTGTAACTCCTGTTATCTTAAAATGCTGCAAGCATCACCTGCATCTGTTGAGGCCACCAGGTTATTTATTGCTTATTTCTTTCTAGGAATGCATTCGCTCCTCAATGCTTTTTGCATTTTAATTTCACCTAAGCAGCAGCTATTCCGAAAACACTGCTTTTCCACATTTATGTATTCATTCTAAATATTTGTGTATCGTCCTTCGAAAGAAAGAAAAAGTCTTTCTCTAGGGCAGCTTACAGCAACAATGCAATATGAAAAACAAAGAAAACAATATAGGTTTCAAAAGCAGCATTAAAACCAACCAACGGAAGTTAAACGGTCTCAAATCCCCACTCAACCTTGGGCCAGTCACTGCCTCTCAGCCTCACAGGGTTGTTGTGGGGATTAAATGAGGAGAGGTAGAATAAGGTGGAATAAAAATGCAATCAATCTGAACCAGTAAGAGTAAGATCTGAGGGGTGGAAATGCTCCTGTGACTTACCTTTAAACCGGTGACATGACATTTTATTATTTATTGAATTTTTATACCACCCTATACCCAGTCTTGGGACACGGGTGGCACTGTGGGTTAAACCATGGAGCCTAGGACTTGCCGATCAGAAGGTCGGCGGTTCGAATCCCCACGACGGGGTGAGCTCCTGTTGCTCGGTCCCTGCTCCTGCCAACCAAGCAGTTCGAAAACACCTCAAAGTGCAAGTAGATAAATAGGTACTGCTCTGGTGGGAAGGTAAACGGCGTTTCCGTGCGCTGCTCTGGTCCGCCAGAAGCGGCTTAGTCATGCTGGCCACATGACCCAGAAGCTGTACGCCGGCTCCCTCGGCCAATAAAGCGAAATGAGTGCCGCAACCCCAGAGTCGGCCACAGCTGGACCTAATGGTCAGGGGTCCCTTTACCTTTACTACCCAGTCACAGGGGTGTTCAGAGAATAAAATATAAATATAAAACCTTAAAATAAAAACAACCCAATAACTCCCAACCCCCAAAAACCACATTTTAAAAGGGCACAGGATCCTCACAATATTTAAAGTAAGACATATTTACTTGGCATGACTCAGGATGTCCCAGGAACACACTATGTCTTTTGTTTTGTAGTGACACTCTGCTCCAAGCCCAGACCCTCTGTGAAAAAGCCCTTTCGGAATCAAGGTGAGGTTACACAATACAGCATTTTCTATGAACGGGTATGCACGGCACCTTAGTTTTAGTCATCTTTTTATAACACAAGGGTTTGCATGCGAGATCCAACTGCATACTGGTATAATTCAGATTGTGCAAATAAAGGGAATTTGGCACTCTTGTGCAACAAACCCCCCTTTCCCCAAAACTGGACTTTTTGTAGTAAAAAAGAAATGCACCCCAAAATGTGGGGTAACAATTGTATATGTCCCCACAAACAAATCACAATGAATGCTGAATAAACCTCCCTATGAACTTTGTGCAAACAAATTGGGATGAATGCTCAGTAAATAGGTTGTCTGGAAGTGACCTTGCAGGTTGTTCCACGCCACGGATTTTCAGATGCCCTACTTCTGTAGACAGCTGCAGGAGATGGCTTTATCTCAGTCAGACTCCCTCCTTTCCTCCCTCTACACTCACCCTTTCACATTTTCCTTGGCTTTGAACTATGTGTGTTATTTTGCAATGGAAGTTGTCAGAACTCCTCAGCAGAAAGGCACTCACCAGAGTCTTTCCAAAAGAGGAAAATTCCCACCCCCCCACCCCTCTATTTTTAAACCAAGTGCATTCACAAAACTGCAGGGAATCAATGGTTGTGCAGAGGGGTGTTCGCCCTGAAGCCAGATGAGCCACTGCCGTTAAAACTGCTTGCCATATTTGACAGGAGGATGACTTTTTACCAACTAACCACATCTACCAAGAGTCTAACATAAAGTTGTGACCACATACCCACCTGTCACAGCAAACGCTCTGGAAGCCTGAGTTCAGCGCTGCCATTTTATCCCTTCCTAACAGCTGTGTCTCATTCCACTTTTACGTATCTCTCTCTCTGGCATGTCCATGATCTCACTCACCTCTGAGTCTTGTGAGATGGGGAAAACTGCTACTTTGCATGTGATCTTCCAGATCTTAGAGATCACAAAACTGGATCTCTAAGATTCCGCCTTACAATCCTGTATTGGGCAACTACCCAACACAAGCCTCTTCCCTCCATCTCTGCAATAGTAATTAAGGACGTGCTCCAAGCAACAGGCAGGTAAGTTAGCCTGTACAATGTGGCATTGCACCTCCCTGCCCCATGCCTCTGTAAAGTTGCATTTTAAGCTACGTAGCCATTTTATTGCTTTTAAATCATTGTTTATTGGCATGTTGTGACATTTAAACCTTTTATTCTTTTATAAGTAAATGTTGCCATTGCAACTAGTGTGTTTATTGCCAGCTCTCTGGAGCAAGAACCTTAGTATTGATTGATCCTAAATCCCCTTCATTCCCCCTCCCCGCAATAAGCAAAGTAAGCACAGCAAGTGCGATCCTGTCTCTCTCTGTGCATGCTGTTTTCTGCTGTAAAGATACCAAGAGTACTATTATTAATAACTCTACAAAATTAGATTTTTCTTGAATATGTGTGTTTACACACACGTGTGTGTACAAACACACTAGCAGATTTTACAGCAAAATGCACTCTGCACCTGCTCAGGAACCCTCCCATCATTTCTTCCTCCATATTTTCCAAGGTTAAGCCTGCTAAAATCAGATGCCAGAACTGAGCCCTGATCAATCTTGCTCCAAAGATAGCTCTAGCGGGAGGAAGAACTGTTCTTTATTTAAGAGGCTTGGAGGAGGTAACCTATTTCCCCAAACCATCACCGTTAAATGCAGGCTCATCTCTTGGGGGTGCCAGTTATATCCCCCTCTAGGCCTGAAGAGGTAAAAGGAAAAGCAAGAAAATGAACCAGTCTTCTCTTATATACATCAAATTTGCCAATAGTTCTCAACCACCCTGATAAAAAAACCAAAACCCAATACAGCAGCAATTCTGAAACACAATTTTCAACCCTGTGAACAAAAGTCATTCATTCTCAGTGCGGACAGGACCCAATTCAGATCTATTATTTATTTACCTCTGAGCTTTAAAGATGGACTAAAGGTCATGGGAACCCTGCTCTAAATAGGAATGTACTTCATGCTTACAGGAACACTTTTAGTTTACTAAAGGTCCACTCATTTCCCTCTCAAGACTGCTGCAGCTGCTTGTCCCTCACAATTTATAACCCTCAGTCAAGGAACTGCCGCAGCTCATCTGCCCGGTGGCAAAGGCAGCAGAGGGTGTTTGGGACTGAGCCATCCTCCCTTCCACTCAGAGCTCTTGCCTGTCACAAATTAAGAGTCCTCAGCTAAGGCAGCACTGAAGCCCTCCATCTTACCTGCTTGGAATTCTGGGAATAGGCTTCAGAAAGCCACTGCCCTGAAGGTCAAAGGTGAGGTTGGACGTGTGCCACGCTGCCCACCGATATTAGGCAATATGTACCAACAAGTTGGGGGATCTCAGCTTTGTCAGATGGACCTTGGAGCATTTCCCTGCTTTGCCCCTCCTTCAAGTACACATGGGAGCTGGGCACAAAATGGTGGCTCATGGAGCAGATCCATCTGCGCTCCTTACAGCAGGACAACCTGAGCACAGTGGAAATTTGCATTTGACCTGTCATCATGCCATGAATCTATGTGCTAAGTTGCTCCATACATTTGCATTAAAATAATGATGCGGCTTAGTTCATTCATCTGCCTGAAGTGCTCCTGAATAAAACACAAGCCTTGATATAGTGAACAGACCCTTTTGTCATTTTGTAGCTTTCCTCGTTTGCCTTGGTGCCCCTGCTTTTCAACCAAAACAGACTTTCAAAGCAGCTTAAAATCAGAATCCAAAGTAAAGGTACACTAGGGATTCATGGAGGCCATTAGCTGATGTCAGCGTCCAGATTCCAGGCTCCTTCCTCTGGAAGTGGGCAGAATGTATTACAGGTAGGGGCAGGGGGCAGGAAACTTAGGCCCAGGATCTAAATGCCTATCTAGCCCGCTCAACTCTTCCCAGGCCACACCCCTCACCCCCCCCCCACTTCCATAAGCACTTTTGCCTGGTGGGAATGTGTCCTTGACCTCTGATAATGCCTCTTGGCTGTCGGGGTAGAAGACAATAGGGTGGGGTGGGTGTGGAAAGAATTTGCATTCATTTCTCCACCCACTTTCATCTTTGGCCCTGCCCACCATGTGCATGCA